TCAAAATTTTTTTTTTTTTTTTTTTTTTTTTTATTACTACATCGTCTTTTGAAATCTTCTGTGTTGCAAAAAGACTCACAAATCTTTTCGATGTTTTTGGTGGATTTGATCTTTTGCATCGAACATGTTCTTTTGAAAATTCTCAAAATTTGTGGAGAAGGTTTAGATCATTCTACATATCGCCCTGACGCTTAGTTATTCGTTCTTCTTCTAGACAACCGTTTTAGGAAAAACGTGACTATTTTAAGAAATATTTGTTAAATCGTTTGATTTTCTATTTATCGTTATTAGTCAACCCTAACCTTTTCATCTCCGTTCGAGAAATAGAGATAAAACCGTATTTCTTAACGTTTATTTAAACGTAATGTCGATTTTCTTATTGTAAATCTTTTAATGTATATTTTCGAAATCGTGATTTAATATCATTCTTAACATGTTTTGTAATCATTCAAGTACATTTAAATACCAATTGTTTCTCTTATTTAGGTTATTTTCAATGTATATTTATGATACAATTATTAGTACATTCGATAATAAGGATATTTTAAAAACTACAAAATTATATAAGATATATTTTATTTCGTCATTAATTCTTTGATATCCATAATTTCATTATAAGCTGTATTATGTGAGATAATCATGATTATACAATCTCTATAATATCTGACGAAAACAATTTATATTCATATCTTTTTATAAATATTGATTTATATACTGATGTATTTACATTACGTGTTTATAGATCTAATTAGATATAAAATTTTTATGATTTAGTATTTCATATAATTTTATCTTTGTTTTTTATGTAAAATTGACATTCCTTTAATTAATTGTAAATTTTATTAATTTATTCCTATTAAAAGGAAAATTAAATTGGTTTCTGTTTATTCATGTAATTATATGTTTAATTAGATCATTCTTTTTTATTGGTTTTTATACTTTTGTTTATTAGTAAATAAATCTTGTTCTTTTTTCTTTGAAATTAAAAATGTTTTAAATTGTAACATATCTTACATGTAATAATTTAGATTATATTTTGTAAAGTAAAATCAATAATCAATTTATCATTTTGTTTTATGTAATACTTCTTAGTGAAGCATTATTAATTTTGTTTCAAATATGTCATTTTATTATACATTTTAAATAAAAAGAGATTAATTTACATATACAAACATTATCATAGTTAATTACATAAACTTTTAAAATATTTAATATTAAATGTTCCTTAAAATATTTGTGAAAATTTGGAAATTATATGTATTTTTGTTATAACAGTATATTATATGTTATGACAAGATGTTGCAATATTTCTAATTTTTATATTTTAATTAATTAATAAAAATAAGTTTAAAATAATAGAAGTATTTAACTTCCATGTATTTAATTTGAGTTTCATGTCATATTAGATTATACGCAATTAATTATTTTTTCTGTTACAGACTGTAAATAGGGAGTGTATATAGTGTGATAAGTGAGTGATATAGGTGTGTGGGATTTTAGTTGGCAATGAGTTCAAGCAACAAATCGGTGTCCTCCGGTGGGAGAAGCACCAACAAAAATAAATCATCACAACAACATGGGAAATCAGATCATCATCAAACTAAATCATCGGATTCAATAAAACATGAAAAAATGCAGGTCAGTAAATACAGCTTATTATTGTATTATTATTATGAGAGAGATTTTCTGCTTTTTTATATATTTTATTAATTTCATAAAGAACTCTTTATTAAAAACTATGGCGTTGTAGCCAAACACTGTTCAGATGCGGCATGCACAAATCATTGACACTAGAATGGGTAGTGGTGAAGATCCTATTTTGAAAGAGCGTATAAAACAAGTCATGGATATGACTAGACGTTCAGAAGATGAAGTTGTTATGGCTTTACATGATAGTGATGGAGACTTGGATCGTGCTGTTAATGATCTTTTGGAAGGGGTAAAAACAGAATGGGAAGTGAAAAAAAAGAAGCCTCGTCAACCAAGTGGTTCAAAACAGAATATGGATACTTCTGGTGGTCAAGATGAGGGTGGTGATTGGGATGAAAGGCGCAATCAACGAGGAGGTGGTCCCCCGCGTATGCGAAGTCGTGCTAATCACGATAATCGTGGATGTATGTTAAAGGAAATATTAGCTGTTTAATTATATTAATATATATTATATATTTAAAAAAAAAACTTTAATCTAGGGCGCGGTCGAGAAAACAAAGAGAATGAAAGAAATATGGAAGATGGTGTTCGTGATGGTAGTTACAGTGGTAATAGAAGGGGTAGAGGTGGTCCTGGAAGACCTGGCCGAGGTGGGCGAGGTGGAGCAAGGGGACTTGGTCCACGAACATTTGCCAATCGGAATGATCCATCATCTGCTTCGTCGACTCATAGTTTTAATCGATCGATCGATACATGGACAGGTAACGAAGAGCAACAACAAGTTACACAGGAACCAAAGATGGGTAAGTTCTTTTATATATTGTAGTTTATTAATATTTAAATTATTGAAATTATTATTTCACACACTAAAAATGTGTGGGTAGATGCATGGAATAATTTGGATTCTACAGAAGACTGGGATAATGAAGAGTATACAGGTTCACTGGCAGATACAAAAGTTTTTACGCCAAGCACTTCTGTAGCAGAACCTACATCTTCTACAGAAGAACCAAAAGCTCAGGACTTACAAACAGTGCAATCAAATCAGAATGTAAATTTATCATTATTACAACAGGAAGTATGTAACATTATTTTATATACTAATTTTATTAAGTATATGTAATACAAAATATTTTTCTTTTATATATATAAGGAATTACCAAAATTATCAGAAATACCATCAATACAACAACAAACCTTAATTCAACAAACTCAGCAGCAGCAACCTGTATTAAGTTTACCAACAATGCAGCTATCGCAACAACCAAATGCTATGAGTGGCGGAGTATTAACAGCTGCTCAGACGCAATATTTAACACAACTTACTCAACAAACAAGTGAAAATTTGAAAGCTGCTGGACAGTCTACATTCTCCTCATCGATATCCAGTCAGGTAGCTAAATAATGTACATAGGAATTATTTTTATTTTATAATATATTACATAAATTAAAATATGGGTGTTATATTTTTTTTTATATATTTTTTAAATATATTAGCCTCAAAGACAGACAAAGCAACGTCCGAGGGTGCCACCACCATCAAAAATACCATCTAGTGCTGTAGAAATGCCTGGAGATGCTGTTAATAGTGGCATTGGATTTCTTGATGTTCAATTTGGAGCACTTGAATTTGGTAGCGATTCAAGCTCTCTTGATGGTTCTGCAAATGAAAAATACAATTCAGCAAGTAATACAATAGCTGGTGTAGATGTGTCTTCTACTACAAATACTGTAAACACTGCCAATACAAATAGCTCTTTGGACATCGAAACAACGCAACCATCATCCACAACACCTTTCAACACTACTTCTCAAATGGTTATTTTATTGTATTTACATATTAATAAAAGTACTTGCTACTTTTTAGTTTTTAAAAATTATTGAACATTTCTATTATTTACTTACAGTTATCGAATAGCGACAACTTACCAGTATCAAGTGAACATTCAATAAACGCGCAAACATTCACTGCTCGTGGTAGCAGTACTGGACAAACTTTAGATATAACTAAACAAGATTTCACGTCACAAGTTTCACCAGGAAATGCACCACCCTATGGTACAACTACAACTTACCAATCTCAAAAATCATCGTTTCAAGCACCCGCAGCAACACCAAACACTTATAACGCATATTCTACAAATGCTCAATCTGCTCAATCGTCTTTTCAAACTGCGTCAGGCACGAGTGCTAATAGTTACTCTGCAACAGCAACTGTTTCACAAGCAAGTTACAATTCTTCATCATCATTTCCTCAATCTAATACATCAACCTTTAGTCAAGCATCTCCTTCTGCATCTGCATCTGTAACTTCAGGCTATAATCAACCAACAACTACAAATCAGGTAATTATTGCGTGATATATTATTAAAACAATTTATATTAATTATACAAAATATTTTCATTAAATAGGTGTATCAATCTGCAAGTGGATATGTACCTACTACAACATCTCAGTATCAAGCACAATCTGTAGCTACGAATACTGTATCAAATAGCAGTACAGGTTATCAAACAAGTGGATATCAAGGATCATCTTCATTTCAGTCGACTCCACAAGCTTATCAGCCATCTGCCACTACATTTACTTCACCCATTACTCAAACTTCTGGAGCTTACCAAAGTGCAGCACAATCTGTAAGAATTGTTTTATGAGCTTGAATGATACTTAAACGTAAAAGGTTATTGAACTGTATTTGTAGGTATATGCGAGTGCATATGGCACATATGCCAGTCAACCTCAAACAGCATCTCACAATCATAAATTGAACAGTAATACAACAAAAGATTCTCAATACGATAGTAATACGACGACATCAAATAGTTCTCTTGCAACTACAACGGCACCTACATTAGGTCTTAGCTCTACGACCATAAATAGTTCACAAACTAAAGTAACAACTTCTAATGGTAAATACAATTTATGCTTTAAGAATTGTAGATTACTTTTAGATTATTTTTAGATTAAAAATAAGCATTTATAATGTAATTTTTAAAGCGGTGCCGAAAAGTACATCAAGTGGTGTAGTAACTGGGAGTAGTGGAACTGGAAATATGACAGGTGGTGGTGCAGCTGGTAGTATGACTCCAATGCTGAGTCACCAATATATTATGGGTCAAGGTGTACCTTATGCGTTTCAGCAACCAGTGTATAGTTATGAGGAATTACAACTTATGCAACAAAGAATACCACATATGGTCAGTTATTTTCAATTACACTATTTATTTATCTGTTGACTTAAGTACAACTTACTTTTAAAATAATGTTAGAAGTAGTTTGTACTTGATTCCAATAAAATGCTTCGTTAGAGTAATGTACACTTAAAAAGGTACATCATTTTATTTTACATGATATAACAAAAATTATAAGCATTGTATTTCTTGAAACAATATTATTATTCATGTTTAAAAAGGAAAAGATAATATTTCGAGTGTACTACTCTGAGCGTGCTATTCTATTTTATGTCATGATTATCTAGTAAAAAGAATGCTGAAGTAATCATTTCTTTAATGCTTGGTAGCTGCTCGTTATTTTGATATTCTTTTTTCTTTATAAGAAATTATAAATATCTTATTCACGTCTTCAAGATGGCACAAAAAGTTTGTTGTATTTTTTTATAGTGAGATGTCTCGCATCAGATAAATCATTGAAAACATTTTAATTTCTGAAACACTATTTAGTAGAAAAGTAAAAGTGTTTGCGATCAATCGATCAATCGCGAGAAAGATCAAATAAAGTTTTATTTATAATATTAATAGCCGTTTTGATCGCAAACTAACTATTGCTTCTATATATATATTATGTCATATATAATATAATATATATTCCTTCATTATTGATTTTATTTGCTCTATACCTAATGTTACGTATTTGAAATTGTATAAAAATATATAATATAATTTTCAAGTGGTTAAATTGTACCTTATTTTAGAAATTTTATTACAAAGAAATGAATTTTTATGTTTATTAATATTGAAGAAAAAAAAATTACATTTAAACAGTAATATTTTTCTTAAAAATTAAAAATTAAAAATAATAAATTTTATATCAAAGAATTCAAGAAAATAAAAAGAAATTTATCTAAAATAGGTACAACTAAACCGCATGTTATCTACCCCAAACCTAGTACGCGTAGATTTAGATATTAGTTAGCCTTCTTGTATTTGGAGTACACAGTGTATGCATGTAGTTTTGTGTTTGGCCTTCCTGACTAACCTGCAGCCAACTACTGGTTACTATGACGCGGCCTTGGGCTATCAGACAACCGGCCCTGCTACAAGCCTCGGTGGGGGACGAGGAGATGCACTTTCCGGTGTACAAGGTGTTCAAGGAGTACAAGGTGTACAAGGAGCTTATACCAGTATTAGTGATGCCAGGTTCGCCAGAAACGACAGTAATGCATCTCCAGTTCCATCTACTATGTCACAACAGGTAAAGTTTAAGTATTTAGTAAATCAAATTATAAATTTTTATCGCATACAAACGATATCTTTATCTATATTATTTATAGACTGCTACACAGCATCAACAACCAATGATGAATCCTACACTTCCTCCAACCTATGCATATTTTGCATATAGTGGTGGAATAATGCCAGGTGGCTTTCAATATGGAACCCCTGCTATTTATCCTGTAAGTTGATCAAATTATACAATCGATTTTTCATTTCCTCTTTGATGTAATTCTAACAAAAATTCATATTTTATTTATCAAAATTACTGTAGCAGATAGCGACTGCTGGTAATGCAGGTACAAACAGTGGTGCATATAGTGCTAAACCAGGAAGTTATGGATCTGGATATGGAGCTGGTGCAAGTTATGATGCATTAGCATCTGCTGGTCCTTCTGCTGAATACAAAGGTGCAGGGAGTAGTTATACAAGCACACAAACTGGTAAAACAGGAACATCTACAGGAAATACAAATACTGGTGGATCGTCTGCAACTGATATTAGCGCCACGATGTACGCAAAAAGTCATGTAGCACTTAGCAAAGTGAATGTAAGTATTTTTATGAAATTGATTTAATAAAAGTTTATTATTTTCAATGAAAAAATTAATAATACTCTGATATTATTTTAGTCCTACGACAAACAAACTTTTCACTCAGCAACTCCTCCGCCATTTAGTCTTACTGGTAGTCAAAACGCTGGTTTGCCTGGTGCATATGGAACGCCGCATTTGTTTATTCCTACTATGCCTCATCAGTTGCATCAGCCACTTCATCAAGATGGTGGTAGCAGTACAGGCCAAAGGTCCAATACAAGTTCCCAAAATAAAGCCCAAGCAAAGCCTGGCTACAGTCCTAGTTACTGGACTGGAAGTAATTAAAAAGTTGGACTACGCAAGGGAAAAGAGAGGAAAAAAGTAAAAAATGCACCATTTTAGACAAACTACAATTTCGCCATTGTGAAACACGGTGGTGTGAAATAAGGACATTGACACAAATGATATAAAGGACACGAGACAATTTTTTTTGGTGAAACTATATTATTCTGGTATGACACGAGTTAATGTAAAATATAAAATAAATCTTAAAATGTGGAAGGATTAAGCAATTTTTAAAGATTTTATGTTTAACAGGGTAGTAATATTTCTTTTTCATATAAATTTACACTAATTAGATAGAAGAAATGTCATACTTTTTTTAATTAGTTGTATTAATTTCTGTATTCTTATATCTTGAGATATTAAGTCGAATTATAAAGAAATCTTCTGACATGTTAACCTACTTATAATTCTTTACTATTATTGAAAAGATTTTGGTGTGTATAATACAATATATATACATATATATGTATAAATATATTTCCTTAAAGCAAAATGTAATATGTAAAAGGAAAAAAAAAATAAAATGCAGCATGAAAAAATTGCATAGTTCTTCCAAATGTAAGGCGCACTCGTGCCAAATAAATTTATAGCGTTTATAACGTGTAACGAATAATCGTACATATTTGTCAAGATGAAGAGGAACAGAATTAATTGTGGTATGTCGAAACGCTATAAAAAAAGAAAATCAAGATTTGTGAGTAGCTCTCGTGTGAAATACTGGAAAAATGATCTAGAAGAGTAATTGACTGTTAAATTTACTCCCGATCTCCTATCTGTATACTACTGTGCAATTGCGAATATACTGCATCGACTGCAAAGGGTGATAGTTTTTTTGTATGATGTAGGCATCTCGGCTCATTAACATCTAAAGTGCTTCTTTACATGAAAACAAAACATCCCGTTCGTGATGAAACGTAAAACTATACTATGTAAATTACAATTATTGTATGTATTTAACCACGGAACATCAGGTATATAAAGTTATAATCATAATGTTGTCACTTTTGGTATTTAAAAATGAATGTATAATCGCACTAGTTTCGCATTCTTGCGCGCACCCGTATATACATATTTTTGATTTGGTCGCCTTGCATTTCTTTTAGTTACCAGAATTTATGAACGTTATATTTTATTAACAAAAAGCTATTAAACCAAAAAGAAGATACCGTCACACCATGTTTTCAAAGAACGTTGATTTCAAAATAAAAGCGGTACTTATTTAATATATCTTATGTTTATAAAAGCGGCGTTGCAGATTAAACAGTGCCACAAAGTACTAGAAAAAAACAAACAGAATTCAGTAATTTTCTTGTGGTGCCTTGAATAAAATTCAAATAATAGAGTTCAACCATCTGCTTTTTGCAGAAACTTCTCATATAACTTTTTACAAACCTTTCATATTGTAAGTTGTATTATCTAAAACGTACATTACCTTATCCTTATTCGTATATTAACTTTTACTAATTACTCTATATCACCCATGTAATTTATCTTCTAGAAAATAATAGTTGATGCTTTAGTTTAATAACAATTTTAAAGTTTTCGTTTGCAGAGTATTGTTTACCTTTTCCAAACTTAGTTTTCAAAGAGATTTAAATGATTTCTAGATCAATGATTGTATTATATATAATACATCTGAAAACAACTAAAAAATTAATTTGTTAACAAATAATTTATAATTATTATCGAATAGTTATACCAGCTTTAAAACTACATTTTTGAAATTTATTATGTAAGGAAGTTCTTCGGATATAGAAGAAAATCAAAACACATACTATGACATTCTATTTGATGTTTACAAAATGTATAGTCCAAATAATAATTTTATGTGGCTACGTCGTAAGTTCTTCAATTTCTTTTTTACTTTTCGCTTCTGATTCGTACTCATTTCTAGGATCTGCTTAAAAACTGTAATATTTGTTAATACGTAAATAAAAATGAATTTTAGTTGATCAAATTATTGAGTATTGAGTATTAAATAAGTTTGTGTTAAATATTTTATACAAATTTCATTTAAACAAAAATAACCTGCACTATTTGCATTTTTTAATTTGACATTAATATAAGTTTTCAAATGTAATAAAAAACAAATGTCGATGTTAGTGTACCGCTAATAAGTATTCACAATGACCTGTATCATTTTAATTAGATTATAATAAAAAGGAAAATGTAATTGTCGATTCCGTCTGATAAAACAATATTCATACTGTTATATTATTTACGCTGATTAGGAACATATTGTACAGTTATAAAATAATCGGACAAAAAGGAGTAACATAATACATTACACAGTTTATTTTAGAAAGCATACTTTACATTTTTGCATTGTGGATAGCAATAATTACAAGTAATTCCTATCATTAAGAAGTAAACGAACAAAGATATGAGTAAAGTATTTTCACGAGGTGCTGTTGAAATCCTTACGACCTAGCATGTGTATAATACTTTGAAATAAATCGTTTTACCGTAAAACTATTCCGAATACCACTCATATGAAAGAGAATTAAATAATTGTAAGTAAAATCTTGTTAGCAATTGCATTATACATATATATAAATATATACAAAATTGAATAACATCGATATGGATAGGATATATTTGAAAATCGTGGGAGACCAAGTGTAGAATAGTTCTCTTTAGAAGAACAAAGAAAATGTAAATCTGTAACCATATATTACCGAGAAAAATAATCGATTTTGTCGATAAATTCATTCCCGGATATGGATTATTCGTTCATCCTAGCTATATAGGATGTTTCGAAACTTTGCTGTGTAACACTAATGACTTAATGACTTTAAAATATTGTGCTATACAAAGAAAGCTTTACAAATATACATATGATTTTAAATGGTTGCTAAATATGTTATCATTTAAATACTTGAAAAGTAACTTAAAAATTAATTTTGTTTTGAATGTAATAAATTCAAATTTATGTATTATCTATATTACATTTTAATGAAATTTCTTTTAAAAATACATTATTTATTACAAATTTATGACTCAATTAAAACTTGATAATTAGTATTTAAGTAAATCTTTCATTTATTTTTTAAATATAAGAAAAATTATTTTCAGTTGCTTTAGCTTTACTTTATAGTACTTATATCAATCACCTAAAATCGAAAGTATATTTAGAACGTTTATATTCGTTAGATAAACATTTTAATAAGTTAATAAATTTGTATAAAGCATCTTTGGAATATGCTTACGTATTAAAAATATGCATATTTATAGAAATACATTCATCTTAATCAAGGGATTGATAAAAATCGGAAAAATTAAGTACCTTTGTTTTTGTTTTTTTCACTGCATATTTTTTAATATTTCGCACTCCATATGTATGCTCAAATGAGTTAGGGGCAAATATGTTAAATGTAATGTATAATGAAAAATAGAGGAAAATGCAAAATATTCTAGAAAATGAAAAAATGTAAACGAAACTTGAAAATTTTAATCAAGCAGTTCGTTTTTGTAACAATTATTACACGTTAATAATTTTTGTATTTTTGACAAGTAATTTATAGAATGAAAATGCAAAATGCATTGCGCCATTATTGCTATTATATAATTATTAAAAAATAATTGTGTATAAATATGAATATCTAAGAATAAATGTATTAAAAAGAACTCTGTGACATACATATATATGCACTGTGTATATTTTAATTCAATACCAAACGATATATAATTTTTTAAATCCTTGAATTGCTTGAATAAAAGTTAATTAATCTCAGAGATTCCAAACTATCAAACAATAAAATATTCCTTATGAAGTAGTTAACTTCTACAGATTTATAAAATTTGGAATATCATTGAACAAAATAACATTTAAATGAAGCAGTTTAGTTTTTTGCAAATTTATAAATTACAATATTATTATCAACAATTATTTACACAATTTACTTCATTAGTTATTTCTTAATGAAACTTAAATGCTTATATTAAAATTTTAGTTACATTAAATAATAGTATAGTAAAAATTTCACATGTTAATTTTAATAAAACAATTTTTTCATCGAAATAGACGATTTATTTTATTTCGTTATCTAAAAGACAGTATAATAATTAGAAAATATTTATATAATGAAAATATATTTCATAAAATTAAACATAAATAAAATTTATATACATTTATATAACGCTTTTATATAATATATATATATATAGTACGTATTTTGTAACCAAGAATGAAAGTGAATGAAAGCGAATCAAATTAATATTTTTAGGAATAGTATATTTAACTAAATTTTTATTAAATATGCTTATATGAAATTTGAATATACAAAAACGTATTAGTCGATACAGTTTTTTTCATATCATAAATGTTCATAGAGTCAAAAAGTTAACATAATGTGTCTTTTGCTCCAAGCTATGAATAAACCAAAAAAGAAGGAAAAATACAGAAAAGAGTAACGAATGAAAATATTTTTTAAATATTTTCTAAATATCAGATATTGTTACAAAGAAAAATTGTTAAATAGGTTACACGTCATTATTTATTATTACGCGCCCAGTGTTTAATTTTAATAAGTATTTTGTTTATTGAATTAGTTAATAATACAATAATATATAACAATAATTTGTATTATTAAATTTATATGATATATAGAATGATTACTATGTGGCATCAACAAGTCTTTGCTCTTGATGCTAAATACAATGCACAACGGGTAAACAGATTACCTACTTTAGGTTTGTATATGTGTTTTATAGTGAAATATAGTATATATGGTAAAGTTCAAAAGTGATATAATTACAGGAATGCTTTATATTCGCCGTAGAAATCAACTGTTAAAAGAAAAGTTTAGTAAAGATCCAAAAATTCGAGAAAATTATTTAAAACTAAGGGCAAAACTGTTATTTCTACGATATGGTGAAAATTTGGAGCAAAATAGTTTTAGTAGTTATACAACTGAAGAAGAAAAATCAGAAATTAAAACAAAATTTTATAATATACAACGAAAATCAATTGCAGAGAGTTTTGCTTTTGATGGAGTGCATCATGTTTTTGATCAACACAATGCACCTGTAATGATGCTTAAATTTGCAAATAATGATAGATCAAAGCTATGTTGTGCATCATTAGATGGACTATTATCTATATGTGATGCTATTAGTACTCCTCCAAAAGTAATAGCTTTATTAGAAGGTCACAAAAAAGGTGTTACTGCATTAGACTGGAGTATTAGCAATGATCTTATAGTTTCATCTTCTTTGGATGGTACAATAAGACTTTGGAATGTTATGGATATAGAAACCAATCCAACTTGTTTACGGGTGGTTAATGATCAACAACGAGCAGAAGTTTTATGTTGTGGCTTTATACCTATAAATAACAATTTAGTTGTTGCTGGTAATTCTCAAGGACTTGTACAAATTTTAAATATATCTACTGGCATATATACTCGCAGTGGTACTTGTAAAATTGGTGGAAAAGTTAGTTTCTTTGAACTCTTAATAATAATACTTATGTGATTAGATTTAAAAATAGGATGATAAACTGTAAAGTTACATTTTACTTAGTTTTAAAGTTAGTAATATTTTCAGAATAAAACACTGTTTCTTTTTATTTTCTTTTTTTTCTTTTTTTTTTTGATATTAAGTTTTGTAAAAACATTTCTTTTTATTATTATTTTATACAAAATTTTAAACATTTATATAATGAGACACTTAATATTGGTAGTTTTGTACTATTCAGGGTTTTTTAAATTTTTAGAAATATTTTGAGGAAATTATATATTAATTTTATTCTAATATAAAGTATTATATTATTAACAAATAATTCTAATTTAGAAAGAAAATATCTTATAGTAATTTTTTAACTACAAAGTGGAAAGATTTTGCACAATGTAATAATCCCAAATTATATATTGTTATATCATAAATAAATTCTAATTTGTATAAAAAATAATTTTCCATAATTTCTTTATGTAAAAATAAACAATTTATTTATTAAAAAATTTAATTTAAACAAAAGATTACATTTCAAAAATACGTTTTCAGATTCTGTCATTAACTTGTGAGGGTAGTGGTGGTTTGGTGATATGGGTTGGAAACGATAGAGGAATTATCATGTCATTTCAATTAGAACCAGGTTCAGGACGATTAACAAAATTAAAAAGAGTACAAGAAACTGGTGGAATGATAAGTAGCCTTTCTTGGCGTTCATGGCTTTCAAAAGATGCTCCATGGCCAGCACTTTTAGTGAGCAGTGCTTGTAATGTAGTACTATTGTATCATATTATTGATAGTCAAGGTTCTTTGTCTCTGTGGACGAAATATCCAATAAAACATAAGTAATTTACAGTTTGAATATTATTAAGTAAAAAAGTAATATTAAGCATGAATATTTAGAATTTATAAAATTGTAAGGAATGTAATTCATTAATTCTCTCCAGACAATACTTTGTGAGGTCTACTTTTTGCCCACAAATGGAAACATGTTTAATAGCTACTGGTTCTGAGGATGGTACAATACATCTCTTAGATTCAGCAAGGAAAAGCAAAGCAGCAAAAATTAATCGACTTCAAGGTCATGCAACACCAACAATTGCTTTATCTTTTAATTATGATGAATCTCTTCTTGCATCAGCGGATCATCAAGGACTTATTATTTTATGGCGTAATCGTCAACGTCATATATAAACTTTTAATAATGTACAAACATAAAATAATATTATACAAACATTTTATAAAAATAATTACTATAAGTAAAATATTTATAATAAAATTTTAAATGTTCTTTATCTGTTTTGGAACTTGAGCAAATTAATTATTTCATCTATATTTTATCCAATACTACATCGAATTTTTATCATCTGCTAAAATAAACTAAAATTAATGAAATTAGTCAAAGTATATAAAAGCAAAATATTTTCACAAATATGTGTAAAACAATAGTAGATGTGTTATAATGGTATAGGAAATAATAACAATGAAACACATACTCTGCTCAAATCAATGTCTGCTTTGTATAACAATATATTAATTGTTCTCTATTAATATTCTATGTATTATAATGAGCACAAAGTTAGCGTTATCAATAATGATAATAATAATAATTGTAGTGGTAGTAAAACTGCATAATAATTGCAGTGCTATTAATAGTAATCATAACATGTACATTTTCGATTTCACATATGTTAATGAAATTATATATCGGTGCAAATATCAAGTATGTTGATATTATTTGTATTTTTAAATATTATTTATTAATCTAACCTATTCTGTCGTTATGTTATGATTTACTTTTGCTGTAGCAATATTGAAAATTTTGGAAGATATTTTTGCAAGAATTATACAATAATAATTAACGATTATTAACATATTATTATTGTTTCTCATTTTAATATTCAAATAAATACTTGCATATTGTGAATTTAATATTTAATATTTATATAATTATAACATTAATTCATAATAAACAATCTCTTTTTGTGCACTTGCATTTCAATGTAATATTCTTCCATAAAAAAATTATCTAAATATTAAAAATTGTTCTAAAGGCTACACGAAGTATTCAAAAAACATTTAAAAATATTGAAGATAGTATGCAATAAAGTACGGCAGCGTATTTTCTGTACTATTTCATGTGAAATTTTATCAGTTTGATTTATCAAATTAACTGAAATAAAAGTGCACAAATTGTGCCCATCACAGTTCTAGTAAAAATAACAATACAATACACATTTATAAAAAAATGATTCGTGCATTAATTACTATACACATGTTGCTAAAATTTGAGACTTAATTATAGTACCGTCCCTTGATTGACACTATAATACTTTTAGAGTAGAGAGCTGTTTTCTACTAATATGATTTTAATATAATACCATGAAAGATATCATATTTAAAGATAATAATAAATGAAAATCAATATGTATAATTATCATATATCATCAATGAAAATAATAATATTAACTTATACGAATCTAGTTTTCTGATAACGATTATGCACTGAACGATGTTTAATAAATATTTACAGATATGAAACGAAATTACTCAATAGTTTTGATGTAGCCTTTAAAAATCGATTGTCTGCTATTTGATTCAATTAATATTTACGTTTCTTTGTCGCTATGAAGCTAACTGTATCAAAAATTATATGAATATTAAGCTCTATTTATATTAATGTTTTTATACAACAAATAAAAATTTAATATAATACTATAGACAATCGATTGAATCTCAGCCACAATAAAATTTGCTACATCTTATGTACAATAATTTGAGATTCATTCAATAGTGTACTCATTGAGTAATCACTATACTCTTGCAACGAAATTAGTTCGGACGGACTTCAGCTAAATTATCTCTTTTAACATTTTACTATCGTCTTTGAAACACATTAATTATGAGTCAAAACACTACACTTGTCGATAGGCTCAATTTTTTCTTGACTATCACATTGGGCACTTTTTAAAGAAGTCGAATCAAGACTTTTTTTTTGTTGAATGTCTTTGGGAGGCACGGTTGGTAACGTATTGTAATTCAAGGAATTTGATAGAATATGTTGGTCCTGTGTAAAGTCTATACTTTGTGGGAATTCTGACACATTTTCTTTATCATGCAATTGTTCTGCATCATCTTCTTTTGTTTGTTTAATAGAAACAAAGGCTGCACCATTTGTAGATAAATTCAGTTTTAAACGATCTCTAGTATGCCTTAATTCTCCTAATTGATATTGATGACTTTGACCACAATCGTTTAATAATTCTATTCCATTTTGTGATACTTCTTGTTGATCACCATCAACTTCATCTCGTTCCTCATTTATTGACGTAGACGCACCAGGAAAGAATTGACTTACATATTTACTTTCGCTAGTTTGAAATTGAAACGGACGATTTGAACTGCTCACAAAAAATTCTTCGTTTCCTGTAATCAAAATAAATTTATTAATAAACATATAAATATAAATTACACATATGTTATATTAACCATATCTTAAAAGAATATATAATACTATAATATACCAGTATGATTGGCATCATCATAGTCAAGAGGATACAGATCTAATCGTGGTTCGTCTATCATTTCTTCCCAGTCTAGAATAAAAGAAAAATTATATATACCATAAATAAATATTTATTTTCTAATTATTTTATTATCAATTTAGCTTTTTTAATATAATTTTTATTTATGTCTTTAAGTTTACCACTGTATGAAGTCGGTTCCCAAGTAGTAGTTGGTTCTCCTTGAGTTTCTGTAGTTAATGTTTCTTTTGGATATTCATACACACAGTGATAGCGTTGTTTTTTAAACCATACACTCTTTTTCTGATCCTAAATAAATGATACATTATATATCGAATAAAATTCATTAAGTTACCTTTATGTTTAATACATATTTATAATTTAATATATGCAATATATAAAAAGGATATTGTTAAATAAGAATGTACCCACCAATTCATCCTAGCAGCAAAAGCAAATTCAAAAATTTATAAATATTTATATTATATTTCAACAAATATGAAAATAGTATTATAAAGCTTACACCAGATTTTAATGTTTTATCTGGGGATCTTAATGCAGAACGATGAGGAGCTAATGTTGCATTCCAAGCTGATGGTGTAAATTCTTCTTCTTCCTCTTCATCCTCTTCTGCTTCCTCTGGATTCATTTCATCTTGAACATCAACATCTACTACTACTCCTTCGTTATTACTTAAGCAACTACGAATTTGAACTTGCTCAACATGTGGCTCATTATATCTCTGTAAAATAATATTAAAATGATTATAAATGAAAAATTATTATCTATATATGTATGTATATTTGATTTCTTTACTTATAATATACTTACCTTCCAAACAAATTCGCCAGAACTAGAACTATTATTTTCATCTGCTCCTCCTCCTCCTCCTCCCCCTGCTCCTCCTCCTCCTCCTCTTCCTCTTCCTCTTCCTCCACCTCCTCATCTTCCTCCTCTTCCTCTTCTTCCTCCTCCTCCTCTTCTTCATCGTCATCTTCATCCTGACTACCCCATCCATGCTCTGTTCCAAAACTTGTTGACATTAAATCATCTTCCAATGGTAGAGGTAATGGTAATGGAAAAGATGTTGGTAACTGTTGCCATTTAGATTCTTCTTCTGGACTTGGTAAAGGTGCCCCTCCACTTGCAATCATAATATGCGATTTATCATCACGAGAACGAACTACTGAACAATTATAATCCAAATTTTCTTCTTCAGATAAATCCCCATTAGTTGTATCTCGTTCATCATCTTGCAATTTATCTCCCAAGCCTTCTAACAAGATCATTTTGTTTGTCCGAGTATCAACTAATAATACATCATCTGAAGCAACAGATTCTTTTGAAGCAATTGATGCATCTCTAGAGTTTGATATTAAGGATTCTGAGGTAAGGGTACTTTCTCGTTCTTCTTGAATTGGACTAAGTGGAGAATCATAGACATTATATCTACAATATTTAACAAATTTTTTAATTGCGTAATAAATAAATAAATTATAATTATTAATAAATAATGTTATACTCTTAGTAATTAAAAAGGTACCTTATTGAAATACCCACTCCTCCACTACCTTGATTAGAAGATTCTTCACTGTCATCATCATCCCAATGTTTACTGTTTATGTCATTAGGTATAAGATTATCATCATCATGAGCTTCTAATGGTTCTACAACAGACATTTGAGCACAAGGTAATTTCTCTCTAAGTTCATTTCGAATTGCTGTTACAAATTCTTCTTCTATATCAAATGATACATAAGAATTATCACTATGTAAGCTCATTGTAGAACTGTCTTCATCTTCAATTTCATTTTCATTTATTTTCTCTATATCTTTTTCATTTCCCCTTTCATATATCTTTTCTATTCCCTTTTCATCTAACATTTTATTTTTAATGTCATTTTTGTTACTATTTTCAATATCGTTTTCATATTTATTTTTATTTTCAATTTTATTTTCATTTTCATTTTTATGTTTATGTTTATTTGCATTTATATTTTCATTTCCAATTTTATTTTCAATATTTCCATATTTATTTGTATTTACTTCTTCACTTTCATTTTTATTTGTATTTATATTTTCATTTCTACTACCAGTAACATTTTCACATATAATTTTAGCTTCAATTTCATTTTTATGTTCACTTTCAATTTTATTTTCATTTTTATTATCATGGTCATTTATGTTCATGATTACATTATCATTTTCATTTCTATTTTCAATTCTAATTTCATTGTCATTTTCAGTTTGCAAACATTGTTTTAAATATGTTTCTTGACAAATAGAATTAGCATTACTTGAATCATTTAATTCTTTGATTTTAATTATGTCTTGTGACTGTCTTTCTTGTTCATCTTCTGATATTGACTTAATATCATTTTCTACTGAATTGATATTAGGTGTACAGTTATCATTATTCTCTATTTCAACTACAGTGTCTATAGTATGGATAGAATCAGATTCATCTTCATTTGTACAAAGAATTTTATTTTCTGTATGATTAATTGAAGCAGTCATTTTTTCAGATCCAGAAAGTGTTGCATAATACTCTGCATCAAGAATAGTATCCAGTTCAAATAAAATTTGTAACTGTTCTTCTTCAGTACAGATTGGTACATTCACTGTAGAATCATTAGTAGATGTTGATGCAACTAAAGCACAGACATTCTCTTCTTCTTCACAGGATTCTTTATCTCTAAATCCAGAATCAGAACTTTGTTCATCATCAGGAGTAGATAATTGTTTTCTTTCTTCTTCATCTTCATTTGGTAAACACTTTCGGTTAATATCTATGTCTTCATCATTGGAAAATTTATCATTTATATTATATGTTGTGCCTTTCTGTGATTGTAAAGTATCTGGTGTAGATACAGTAGTTACAATTAATTCTGGCGTAATACTATTTTCTGGTTTAGACAATGATTCTGCATATTCATTAAATTCACCTTCATCCAAAAAACCAGGTACTTTTTTTTTTAAAGCAGAATCCAGAGCGTGATTCCAAAGTGCAACATCAACTAAATTGCTTTCACCTGTCATAAAACTAACTGAAAAGTTGTTAGAAAAACAAGTATTGTCACTGTTTTGATGCTTAGGTGTATTATTACACTGAGACTTATTATTTCTTTTTAATATTTCAAAAGAAGATGTATCATCAGGTACATAACGTAGAAGAGGAAGATTAGGATCTCCTTTTGATAGAAGTCTTAGAACATGTTTTTCACTACGTATTTCTGTAATTGCATTTGTAACAGGTGTAGTCTCAGATTCTTTGCCATTTAAAGATAATCTCAAAATTGGAGTTTGAGCTTGATCCATAGTTAATGTTAGCAATTTTGGCCTTTCTGAAATATCTAACATTTTGATTTTATTAGAAGTATTATTTGGCAAAGGATCTCGTAATTTTCTTAATGTTTCATCAAATTCATCTGTATGAATGCTATGTCTAAGATCGCTATCACTACCGGTAGCAGGTAATTTTTTTTTCCCATATTTTTCTGATATCTGAGCTCCCATTGATAATTCTGCATCAGAATCGAAATCGATATGTACAAGTACCATTAAATCGGTAACAGATTTGGATTTTTGTTTCACTTTTTCAGTATAAACTCCTTGTTCTATTTGTCCTTTCCAACTTTCTTCTTCAGTTTCAGAACTAGATTCGTGATGAATAATATTTTTAATACTTGGTACATTTTTTACTAGTTCACTTGGTCCAAGTCGAAATGATGACTGTCGAGGTGTATCATCAACAATAGTGGTCCAATAATCTGAATCAATACTGCCTCGAAGATCTTGTAAACTAGCACTTCGAACATGTTTAGTATTAACTCGTAGATTTTCCCATCTTTGTTCAAAATCCAAGTACTCTGTATATTCATTCAAAAGAAGTTGCTTCACTTCATCCAAATTTGGTCTTTTCTGTGGATTTAAATTCAAACAGAAATGAATTGCTTGATATATGTTTGATGGACAGCTTTCTAGGTATGTTTGCAACACTTGTATACCATTTGATAAAAGATCAGTTCTTAGAGGTAAAAGCATTTGAATTACTTGTTCATCAGTTTTATCATGGTATGGTCTCTTTCCCCATGTAATAATTTCCCAAAGAAAAATTGCATAACTCCACATATTTGCTTGAGATGTAATTTCTCTAGTTTCAATAGTAGTATCAGTACATTCTACACTTTCTGGTGCAGACCATCTAATAGGCAATGCACGATCTCCAACTACATAATAATCTTCAGGATATTTTTCTACACCAGTCCCATAATCTCCTAATTTTGCTGATAAATCTGATGCTATCAAACAATTTCTGGCAGATAAATCTGTATGTACAAATCCATGGCTATGCATATGTTTTAAGCCAGCAACAATATCCAGTGCCATTCGAATTGGAATATTTTCTTTATTAAGTGCTTCTTGAGATTTTTTATCTTGATTTGACAACAAGAAACCTTTAAGATCACCTACTGAACATGATTCAAAGAGTAACAGATATGGGTCAGTTTCTAAACAAAAACCCAACAAAGTTAAGACATTCTGATGATGTAATTTCAAATATGGAGTAGCTTCACCAAGAAACCAGGCTTTTTCCTTTATTGTAGCCTCCTCAGTAAGAATTCTCACAACAACACCACCATGTTTGGAAGTTCTTTTATGTCCTTCTAAATCTGCACGACCTTCTACAACTTTTCCAAACCATCCATGACCAATCTCTCTTAAATACTTCAACTTTTCTCTAGATACACATAAATCCTGTGCATCGAACCACTCACGACAATGTTCAGGGAGAGTATTCGAGTCAGAATCATGTGATTCGAAAAATGATGTCGATAAAGGTAATGGCTTAGGTTTTGCAGCATTTTTAGTTCCAGATATAATATGTTCTATAGGTAAAGGATCAAACTGCACTCTCTCTGAAACAGCTAACATGTGCGGAACATTCAATTCCAAACCCTCCAGAGAATGTTCAAACACTGATTCCTGTCCAATATTGTTTCCATCTTTGAATTCCTATAACATAAAACCATAATTATATTTTCCAAACTTTTTTATAAAACATAAAGAAAAATTACAAAAAATGTAATTGAAATATATTAAACTACATTATATACTGCAATCACTTATAAATAATATACATGCAGCTACTTTTAAATATTTGAAGAAAAAGTTAAACATTATATTTATTATTTTTCTTATATATATAAAATAAAATATGAGTACTCTGTGATATATTTAAATATATTTAAATATTAATAACTCTTATTATGTTTATAAATAAAACATTTTCATAACAATTACAAAAACTACTATTAAGGCATGAATAATAATACATATAAATATTTAAAATAAAGATACATGATTAAAAAAAAATTTCTTGTATTATAACATCTGCAACCATACTTTAAATACTTAAACGAGGACCAATTACAACTGTTGTTGATTCTTAATTCTGTTTTTCTAAAAAAACTTTTTATTCAAAAAACTTGTGACGGTAATTTTACCTGATTGTACTTTTCTGCTTTGTCCTACAATTAGTAATGTATAAGTCATTATTTAAAAATACATAATCTTAGTAAGAATTTTTATTTATTATATATAACATAAGTGACAATAAATTACCTGAAAACCTTTAGGTCTTCTAGGTCTTCGACAACAAAGGCAACCAACTAAGGTAAATGCAGTAGCAGTTACACTTAAAAGACCAAGAGTATATTGAATCCAATACCGTTCCCATTTTGATGAAGCATAGGAATATGGTAAATCTGTTACAAGCAAAATAACCTCTCACTAGGAGCATGTTATCAAAATACACATTCAAATATATAATTAATATACCTGTTCGTATAGAAGACGACACAGGATAAGCTGTAAGTGTTGGAAGACCCGCCCAAAACAGCCAACATATCCAATATAATATGATATCCAGCATCGCGCATTGAAACTCTTCAATGGTGATAGTGATCTATTTAAGTCATTCTTAAAAATTTATGACTTCTCGAAAAGATGCATGATTGAAAAATCTAGTAGATTGTAACACGTTCTAATTTTACGACACACATATCACAACTATCCGTAATCTCATATTTCTGGTATCTACAATCTATTGGAAACTAGCTTCGGTCGTACAGAATGCTGTTAAATAACTTTGTCACAGCAATGATGAAGTGTTGCAACAGTATGTAAAATAGAAATACACTTTTTTTAGGGAAACCACCTGGGCCAAGCATGATATGTATCGTAAAACGAATACAATACAATCGGCCACGGTTCGGTTAAAAGGTAGGAGTAAAATCACCACGCTTGCCAAACCCAGTTCTATTCTTGTCCCTCTATTCTCTCTATTGCTCTTTTTCTATCTTCAATGCACTAATATGAATGTATATTATTCTGACTAAATGATCGCTCTAAGCTGTGACATTTTGATTAGAACCATATGTATGTACATATATTTAAATGTTTAACAAACTGAAAATGAGTAAATAATCCTGTTTCATTTTTACTATTATGTTATAATAACATACAATACAATTAAAAGTGGTGAATTAATTTAATGGTAACAAAATATAACTAAAATAATTAGGTTTATCTCAAAATAATCATTTTATGAAAATATTGTTAACTTTAAATGTAAATAAATGTAAGTTTTAAACAATTTTTAAACCTACAGGTTGTAATGTCAGGTGTAACATTACAATTAAGTTTATGCAACATAATATAATAAATATACAATTAGTTAGTTATAAAATAAATAAATAAAAAGTAATATCTACAAAATTATTCTTCTTTTTCTAATATTTCTTTGCTAGAATTAATATTATTTGTAAATAGAAATATTATAAAGTAAAAAATTATTCAAATTTGTATTTGATAATATTTTATTAGAATAAAAAATTTTAAATATATCAACCATATATATAATAACATTTACAAAAATTTATTCATATTACAGAAATTATAGAAAATACTTAGAAAGTACAAATATTTTTTTATTATCTTTGATGTATAAAAATATTTGTATTTAAACAAATTAAACAGATAATTATATAGGCAATCAGTAAAAGAGTTTAGTCAATTTCAAAAGTATTATTTAAAACTGTTTGCAAAAAAATTTGAGATTAATAATATTAACAATATACAAGAATGTGTTATGTATCTTTTAAACATAATACATATAACATAATTTACAATTTTTTAATCAAATTAATATGTCATATACTTCAATAAAATATAAAAATTTAGAAAAATAGTTAATTATACCATTAAGTAAAATAATAGAACTGCTTAATACAAGCGGTCCCATGGTGTAATGGTTAGCACTCTGGACTTTGAATCCAGCGATCCGAGTTCAAATCTCGGTGGGACCTTTAAAGAAATGTTTTTTTTCTTACTACTATGAAAAGTTTATTATAATTCAAAAAATTAGGAATAAAATTTCAAATGTAATACATAATAAATTTGTAACAGTCACTTAAATAATTAATAACTTTTTTCGAGTGAATATAAAAAACAAAATTCAATGTTATTTACTATCTATACTTAGCATAATATTCATTATTATATTTTACATTAATATGTTATGAAATGTCTATTTTTTTATAACATAAACAATTGAAGAAGCCAAAATATCTTCCTTCGTAAACAGATTCGTAAATTACAATCAAAATAGAGGGCATCACTATCGATTGTCATGTCTAGGTTTATTCAATTTCGAAAGTAAAGTAGTTTATAACCTCCATCTACTCTTGAAATTTAAGTACAAAGAATATTTTAATTATAAATTATATAAATTTTTATCGAAATTAACAAACAGTAAAATAAAATTGTAAATTATGAATACTATGTGTTGTAAATAAAATATATGAATTATCTTTATATAATATATTCAAAACTTTGGTCATAAATCTAATTATAAAATTTAATGTTAATAAAATTGTAGCAACAAATTGTAATCATGAGCGAAGGATGTGATTCTGTTGTAATAGTTAAAGCAAAGCCAGTTCGTAAGGTGTTTAAAGCTCCACTTAAAATAAATAAAATTCCTGAAGAAATATTAAATGATCCATTGTTAAATGCAGCAATTGCTGCATTACCTTGTAATTATAATTTTGAAATACATAAATCAATATGGAGAATTAAAGAAGTAAAAGCAAAAAGAGTTGCGTTACAAATGCCTGAGGGACTTTTAATGTATGCTACAACTATAGCTGATATTATAGACGATTTCACAGGTGCAGAAACTATTATAATGGCAGATGTTACTTATGGTAAGAAAATGCATTGTTATACAAGTAGAAAATAATTACATTTATTGACTTTATATATTCTTTATGAATACATATACTACATAATTATATTTTGTATAATTTCATATGTTTATAAACATATATATGTACATATAATTCCAAGCTAAAAGTAAATACAATTGATACAGGAGCATGTTGTATAGATGATTATATTGCAAAAGCATTAGATGCAGATTTTTTAATTCATTATGGACATTCTTGCTTAATACCAATTGATCAAACAATTGGTATTAAAGTACTTTATGTATTTGTTAATATAAAAATCGATATTTCACATTGTATTCAATGCTTACAAACTACATTACCAGTTACAACAAAAATTGGACTTGTAAGTACCATACAATTTGCTGGTACATTACAAGCAATTGCAATGGAAATGAGAAAGAATGGTTATGAAGTATCTACTCCACAAAGTAAACCATTAAGTCCAGGCGAGGTATTGATATGTATACATTTTCTTAAACTAAATGCAAATTAAAGTTATTCAATTATAATCCTCATACCATGAAAAAACCTCATTGTTGCATAAAGATTTTAGGTTGTACAGCACCACAGATTCGATGTGCTGATGCAGTTATTTATGTAGGGGATGGTAGATTTCACTTAGAAGCAGTAATGATTGCTAATCCAAAATTACAAGCATTTCGATATGATCCTTATGAAAAGAAATTAACAGAAGAATTTTATAATCATAAAGAAATGCTGAAAACTAGATTAACAGCAATTGAACATGCAAAAGAAACTGGAAGATTTGGATTGATACTTGGTACATTAGGAAGACAAGGAAATCTGACTGTTTTAAAAAACTTAGAAAATAAAATGAATTTGTTGGGAAAAGAAAACGTTATTATATTGCTTTCAGAAATATTCCCAGATAAAATTAAATTATTTAAGGGTGTTGATGCTTTCATACAGGTTATTTTATATTTACAAAATTTGATCCTCTAATTATGACGATTATATATTATATAATTTCTATATTATAGGTTGCATGTCCACGGTTAAGTATAGATTGGGGTACAGCTTTTGAAAAACCATTTCTTACACCATATGAGGGAGCTGTAGCTTTAAAAATGATAAACTTTAACAAAGATAAATCATATCCAATGGATTTCTATGCTTCAGCTAGTCTTGGACCATGGACCCCTAATTACAAAGAATCTGAATTAGAAAAACAAACTGATATTTGTTGTGGCAAATGTAAAAATAAAACATAAGTAATAAAGATTAATTTATATTTAACTTAATATTATTAAAAGATCTATTGCTTAAAATAATCCTACTTTTTTATGTTTAATCAGAATTATAACATGATGTATATTAATTTATTATTATTTAAGAAATGATTAATTATAAAAGCAGGATTTAATGATTTATAGAATTTTTTTGTTCTATAGAAATTATAAATTTAATAACAAAAGTAATGATTATAGTTAAATTTTTTAATTTGCTTAACTTTATATATAAAAAATTTATATTTAATTATATACAATATATGTATGATACATTTGAATGTATTTTATATTGCTTTAATCGGCGGTAGTGTAATTAAAGAAAAGTCCGCGTGGGCGAATTACGTCATACGCCCACCTGTAGCCGCATACTCATACAAAACCTTTTACGTTCTTGTATAATAAATGTGTATCACAAATGTAATTATCACACATTACACAAATATTTTTACATTAAAATTTATAAATCATTAATGAACTTATATTTAACTTTACTACATTTTAATAGACACACTGTTATGAAATTTTTATTTATAATTTACGCATTATATCGTAATTAAGAAATTGCAATTTTTCAATACATTTAATTTCAAATTATAATGATGATGTGTCACTACAAACAAATTAAAGATATAACTATTTTTTAAATAAATATATTATAAATTAGTATTACATACATAAATGAAAATTTAAGAAAAATAAACATTTTCTGACAAAGTTATTAGGAAAAGGTCACAGGGTAGATCGCATAGTTCCCGGGGGTGGAAGGCTGTTTCGGCCGCACCCCGGCATCGCGATGTCAGTCGTCATTCCAACGTGGCTCAACAAGTATACGCGGTAGTTTACAGTTGATTCAAACATTTGAAAATGTATTGTATAATATAAGTAAACTGTTACTTTATTTTACTTATAAATATATCGAAATAAAGCGCAACAAAAACCTCGCGCTTTAGAAATACTAACAAATTCAAATATATTCATTATCTTTATAATTTATTTCTTAATTAACACGTTAATAGTGAAACAAAATATTTTAGTAAATTGTAAGTATATATTTTGTCTTCAAATATTAAAATATTTAAGCTAATTTACATATCAAATATTGTTTTTTTGTACCATTTAAGTATATTTATTTATTCATACATTGACCTTGAAGTATTATTTATCAATTATTTAAATTAAATTATTTGTCTTTAAAAAAGGAATAACACAAAAAATAATTAATAGATATATAATTTCATATAATAATGTTATTATTTTCAAAGAGAATATTTTTGAATGACATCTAAAGTAATGAACGGGAATAACTGGGAGGGAAAATGGCCTAAGCAACAATCGCAGACTAATAAAACACTACGCCGAAACAGTAAGCGAACTGAAAAATCTGGATTAAACTCATCTAGAGGAACAACACCTAGAGAAAGAACTCTTAGAAGATTGGAAAGTAATGAGAGGGAAAGAATGAGAATGCATAGTTTAAATGATGCTTTTCAGGTACATATAGCTGTAGTAATTTGTAGCAGAAAGTGATCTATTTTTAGGGAAATTATATTTTATATGATTTTATTTTAAATGATAATATTTTATAGTCTTTACGTGAAGTAATTCCACATGTATCAAAGGAAAGGCGATTATCAAAAATTGAAACTTTAACTTTGGCAAAAAATTATATAGTTGCTCTCACAGATGTGATATGTGCAATGAGAAATGAAGAAAAAGTTACAAATCCACAATCAGAAGTTTCTGAATCTCAGGAATCATCTAATAAAATGAATATTTGCCTGAATATGAATATTCCAATTGCTTCAAAATCTTGTAGTTAGGAAAATATTAAAATTTATTGGAATAATCGCTCACAAAGAAACAATTCTAAAAACACTGCAGGCCTCAGAAATAACAAAAGATATTTCTTAAAATTAATAATAGTTTCAACATTAAAAGACCTGGTAGTCAGATTGTAGGGTTGTTTTATTTAAATTTTTTCACTAAAGTATCATTTTTACACTTTTCATTAAACATACAAAAATAATTTAAAATAAAACAAACAATTAATAAATAAATATCTAATTTCAATTTTACTTATTTTTATTTAATTTGTATTTTTAATAGTATTATGTAAAATATGGTGCCAAAGAATATTTTCATAAAATGAAACAATATTATATTATAGTGTATATTATATATAGTACATGTTATAGCATTAAACAAATTTTTAATTATTATATTAAAACGTTTTATTCAAATTATTTTATAATTTATAAATTGCATGGTATATTGTTCCATATATTAAATTAAATATTGTTAATATAGTAATTAAAAATCCTTACACTATAATATATGTGTATGTATATTTAAGATACAATACCATAAATGTTGACAGATTTATAAGACATAATTTGTTGAATGATATTTGATTTTCCATATATTTATGTATAAATAAAAAACAAATAAAGATATATTTTACTTATGTACTTATTTTCATGCTCTGTTTCTTTTCATTTCCATAAGTAAAGACCATAAAAAGATTTAATTTCTAAGGAAATAACAGATAAAACTATAAAAAGGTATAAACAAATGCATTTTATTAGGAGAATAAATACTATATTTACTATGTACAAATTATGTAAAAATCACTTAAGAAAATTATTTTTTTATATAATATTATATACTGTAATATTATCTAATGTCAATACATTAAAACAATAAAATATCTCAATAAATTAATTCACAGTAAAAGAAATAGGCCAGGTTTTTAAATCATGTAAATCAACTAATACGCCTGTTTGTGTTTTAGAAAATTTTGGAATACAAATCAATCTTATTAGTTGTCCCTCATCTGCTATGAATGTATACTTTATTTTACCAAGACTATTCATTTGTCATAACACGAAAATAAATAGTAAGGAATATACTTACTTGTGAATAATTTGGTATCATACTTGTCCATATTACCAACAAAATATATATCAGGACATTCTGTCATAATAAATGGATCAATTTCTGATGGATAAGTTGGTACAGTATCTGGTGCAGTTGGTGCATAATGTCGCCAAAGTAATGTACGTTCCAACCACATTAAAGGTGAAATATCAGCAAGTCCAGCAACACGCATAATATCCATAATAGGTTGACCACTAGATCCAGCAATAATACGAGAATTTATACTACCAATCCATGGATTAGTAACTCCATGAAAACTCTTAAACCTGCATCACATGAATATTATCAATAGTATACTACTCTATCTATATATATTTTATATTACCTAGAACATTGTGGTAATATACATGGATGAAGTGCTTGTTGAGGTAAAGTATGACAGGTTGGATCAAATTCTCCAGGCATTAATACTATGGGACAACACTGTGCTATAGGATGGAGAAAATTGTCTAATGTATGCATCACCATTGCAGTCTCTTTGAATATAGCTTCATTATGTGCCTTAGTTTCAAAATATTTTCTATAATTATATGTTTCCACAGATCCTCTTACACTATTTCCTATATTAAAAGTGTTCTTATTTATTGTAATTATTATGCATTAACATATATTAAATACCTGCTATAATAATACATATGATAGATGCCACTTCTTTATAAACCTCTTTACAACCAATCATTCCAGTAATCCATTCAAACAATAAATTTATATCTAATGATTTTAAATTATTTGCAAAATCTAAACCAGAAATTATTAAGATTTTTTCTTCTTTTCCTAATGGTTGATCAAGTATAGATAATTGTGGACAACATCCTGGAAAACACCAATCTATTACCTGTAATTAATATATTTTATAATAACAAATTTATAATATAAATACATTTGCAATTTTAATTATTTTTTAAAATTGTAGAAAATTAAATCTTACTGAAAATGTACCATCCAGTTCATGACCATATACAGCACAAACAATACCAGTAACTACATCTTGAATATTTATATGATTACCAGTCAATTTAATACGTAATGTTTCATCTTCTAAATACAATATATCTTTAAACGATGCATAATTTAATCTAGCTGGTTGATTTACTAATTTAAGTTCTTGACTAAATTCACGTAATATCGATGGTTTTAACTCTTGATGTTTGTACAAAGTGCCTATTACAATACAAGTATCGTTTTGATTTCTTTCACAAAGTTGTGATAATGTAACTACTTCACTATGCGCTAGAACAAAATATTAAATATTAAAAGATACAATTTAAAAAAATAAAAAATATAACCTCAATGAAAAAATATACCCCATTTAATCTTCACTTTTTGCAAAAGGTCATTTTTTAATGCTTTTAATCTTGCGATATAAATATTACAATATTGCTGCTTAAAACATTTTGAGGAAATTTTAAATCTTTTGTAATCCTCTAATTTAAATGATTTACGACCATATGTCAGTTGCGGTTCAACTTCCGTCCTGGAAGACATTTTTTATTAAACATTTTTGTTTAATGTTTTCACAGTATACAAATTTCAATAAATTTAGTATATTAACTAAAATTGAATAATCATAAAAAATAAAACATTAAATATAAAAAAATAAATATTAATGCATTAAAACATTTGAATATTTTTCTTAAAACTTATCAATTTTTAGTGTATATAATTATAACCAAAAGCAAATAACATACAAAATGTCAATGCTATATCTATAGTTAAAATTTATTTAACTATAATTAGTTAATTAATAATTATAATTAATATTACTATAATTGATTAAATAAATTCCATTGAAGTTTATTTGTATATTAATTTTATCAAAAAATATCAAGATATTGTATGATTTAAATATGGATATCAAATCTTAATTACTAGTGATGCATGTAAAACAATTTATTTTTCACAGGTATCAATATTCATTATATATCGACTATATTATAAATAAAAAATGAGGCACAACCTTGAATACATAAATATTGTTTGAACAAATAAGAGAATACATTTTATATATTAAATTAATTGTTACCCAATAATATTCTATAATGTATAAAACATTATGGGTTAATTAAAAAATTATGCTGGATTCGGTGGTAAGCCCATTGACCAAGTATCTAATAATTTTTTATCATGAGGACCAGCACCTAAACTAAGCATAAGTCCAGAAAGATCTCCACTATGACCACGTCCTCGCATGGCATGAACTACTTTGGCAATGCTACAATTATAATAGAAATATTTTTATGTTTAAAATAAAAATTATTAAATAATTATACAATATGTAATTATACTTTGCCCATTCTTCTTGCAGTGCAGCAAAATGTGCTTTCAAGGTAGAATTTCCAAGCTTTTCATTTTCAAGTGACTTTTCAATTTTTATTAACAATGTTGGCAATTTTAGTGGTAAAGTACCTGTCCATCTAACAATATGTGAACTTGAATTTTCAACTTTATGCTCATCAGCCATAATATCTAATCTACATACATTTGCACAAGGTAAAGGAACAGCTACTGATGTATCAACACCTAAAATTAATATTATTACTTACAAAACAATAACTATAATATCTATATTTCAATATTTTTGTAGTAATGTGTAAATACCAATAAAGTTACACTTATTAGGATCCATATATTCAGTTGCTTGAGTTTTAACTCTTCTACATGCACGTGGAATAAGAGAACTAAGGCCATATAAAGATTCCAACCTTTGAGTATTTGGACCTCTTACCAAAATTTGAACACCTGTTAAACTAGAATATAAAAGTTGTCTAAATTGGTCCTTTCCTAAGACAGTTCTTAAACCTCTAAGTATCACTGTAGTAGATTTCCCTGAGACTTCTGAGAATTCAAGTGTTGTTTCTGATTCATTTGAGTTTAAGGTTAAATTTACAGGTAATTTGGCATTTACTAAAGTGAATCCATCTTCAGTTTCTGAAAAATAAAAAAAGATGTTTAATAAAATAAATTTAAATATATATAATTTTCATATATACAGTATTTTTCATGATGCTAACCAATCTGATGATCCAAATTGTAATTTAATTCATCATCTAATAAGCTCATGGGAAAAATCTCTATAAAATGTCTTGCTCCTGCACTAAGAATCCATACCAGCCACATGTGAATTCTGATTTAATTGTAATTTATTAATATTTTACCTACCAAGTATTAAATACTTATATTATAATTGTAAAACAGACCTTATAAAAACATGTTTCTCGTTAGTTATATCACTAAAGGTTCTAAGTTGTTTATTTGAATTATTATATGACCCTGACCCACTATTAGCTGTTGATAAACGAGCAATTCTTTGTGGACATTCTGCTTCTTCTGCATTGTATTTCTTTTCAGCAAAATCTTGTAGTTCACGAATTACTTCTTTTAAATTGTCAACTAAAAAGGGCCACATATTTAAAAGAAATTGTTTATCCCTCATGAAAACAATAAAACTGCACCATTTCCGAAAACCTCTTGCCTATAAAAAGAAAAACAGGAGTTCTTACCATTGTTGAATATCTTTTTTAATTTCTTTCTAAAATTTTAAGATTATAATTAATGACATGATTTGAATAATTTGTTGTAATAGCTACCAAACATGCTTTTTCGTTGCATAATTCACCTGGGCATCTTTTAATGTAAATGTATGACTTAAAACATGCCCCCTATATTCATCTCCAAAGTAGCAAACACCTTCTTTACCAGGATGTACTTCACAGCTTAAACTCCTTAAAAAATTAAAATAGAAAGACTGCTTTTAGTTTTTAAACAATTAATGAATACATACATTCATATTATTAATAAAATATGAAAAAAATTATCATGATTGTTATACCTAAAGCATGCATGCTTTAGCAAGCACCAAATGTCTTGTGTTAATGATTGCTGAGCAGAGAGAAACGATGTCCTAGTTTCATGTTCATTACTTAAATATTTCACATTACCAATACTCTGACATCCTTCGCATTCATGCTGTCCATCTTCCACAACATTTTGACTCCGTTTTAATATTTCTCTTGGTCCATAAAATTTTAATTTCTCTGTACTTTGATTATCATAATTACGGTAGGTTTGAGTTGTAAATATTACTTTAGGTCCATGAGATTCACAGAAAATACATAAAGCAATCACAGCATTCATTGTTAATATTACTTTTTTTTTTGTTAAGCCTTACAAATTTATTATCCTTATATTTTCATATTTTTATCATTCTTATCATTTTAAATATATATACGATATGTGCGGTGTGCGCGCGCGCGCGCGCGCACGTGTGTGTGTGTGTGAATAATGTAATATCTTTTTAAGATTTAAATAAAATATTTAAATATTACACATATTTAACAATTTAAAACGTTGGAATTATAATTTGAAACATAACCTCTATACGTAACATCAGATATAAATTGTATTAAAAATAAAATATTAATGTATTATTTATCAATTTTCAGCTCACGTTTTAAAAACAATGAATTTAACTTTTTTCAACTTTTTCACGTGATAAGACAGAAATGAAGAGAAGCCAAGAACACGTGACATTATGATACTCTTTTATACATATCTGAATGTACATTTATCCACTCGTTCGTACGAAGTGTGTTCACGCATACATGCATAGCATTGACGACCTGGTGCATACAAGTAAAAACAAAAATACATTTACGTAGCGCAATAGATCACTTCTTGTAAGGTGTAACATGTTACGCCATTAAATATTAATTAATTTCTTTTTTCACATATTAATATAATTAACAGTACAAATAAAATAGATAATTATTGTTAATAAATACGTATATTACGTTTTCATATAATATGAATTGCAGCAAATGAGATATATTACAAATTCATTGTTTTGTATTGCAATACATTAATTTTAATTTGGTGCCTTCATATGCAGCTCTCATCCATATACCTATAGCATGTGCCTGAGGATTAGGAAACTTAAATTTCTGAAATAAATATATTTAAAATCATGTTTTGTTTTTATGCTATTAATTTTGATTTATAATGTACATATTATACATAAATTAAAATAAATAATCAAACTTATAAAAAAATGAAAGTACAGTACTTTGTTTTTTACATGAAAAGTTTGTGTATATAGAACACTTGTAGTAAAATTTTCAGCAGCTTTTACAGCAATTCCAAATGCATCAATAGGATCCACATTTCTATTTAATGCATTTTGTAAGTCTCTTTGCATTGTTGTCAAAGTAATTAAAAAAGTTTGGTCATGCATAGTGGATACTTTAAATTGTTCTATTGCTTTATTTGCAATAATTAATGCATGCAACCACATATCTGCTGTTATTTTTTTATCACTTTCATATTTCAAAAAAGCCTAAAAAGTATTATGCATTTAAAATTTAATTTATAGTATATTAAATCATACCTTACTTTAGCAATATTGTAAAAGAATAAAAAATATAGCCTTCCTTGCAAGCCATCCACTGTATTCTGAATGATATGACTAATTTGTGTAAATGTTACATACAGATTTGTACCTAATATTTTATTTTTCTGTAAAATATTATTTTATTAAGAATTTCATGATATATTGTTGATTTTTTAAAGATGTATAATATCCAGTATTTAACCTGAATAGCATTTTGTATAGCTTTAGCTCCATGCGCAAGGCTTGTACCATAATCTCTATTGCCATATTCTTCACCTATCTTATCTAATAGTTTTGTGCATGTCATTATTGCTTCACATGCCATTGATATAACTGATAAAAATGCTTGACCAGTTTCATGATTCATTACTGGTCCTTGTGATTCTAAATCACAACAATCCATATTCTGCATTAAAATTTTATCTATTTATTAAAACTCTTACAATTTCATTCATAAATTTATTAGTAAAACTTAATAACTTTATAGTACTTGTTTAATGTATTTAATTTTATTACATTATTCTAAAACTTAAATTTAATTTCAAGTTAAAATGTAATAGAAATTTATATAAATTAATTTTATAAATTTTATATCACCCTTTTAGTTTCTATTGTTTCCAAAGTTAATGCAGTTGGCCAACTAGATACAGATGTTGGAAAATCCAAATATTTAATTAATACTGCAGTAAATGAAAGATTTAATAAACAAATGTGAAAACCACTTCTTTCAGAATATGACATGAAATCTTTCACATATATTCTTTTTATTTTTAATCCATTTATTTCTATTTGTTGTAATAATTCTAAGATAAATATGTTTTTCTGTATTTTGCTGCAACCTGAAGAATGGAAAAATGTTTTAGAGTAATAATTAGCTAAAAATATAAATAAAATTTTAGAATATTTAATAATTTTCTGATACCAAAGTTACATATCAGAATTGCAATTTCATGGCTAATACAAAATGTTTTTGATTCATGTATTCTTGTTTTAGTTTGATGTTGTGGTGTTATATTTAATATATCTATCAGTGGTTCAAGTACTTTCTTAGTTGTATTTGTAAACATTTTCAACTTATGGTCTTCATCAATTATATTTTCAAAATCTGCAAAATATAAATTTTTCTTGCATTATATTGTAAAACATTTTAGGTTTTTAAAAATATTTAAACCTGTCTTTAGAAGTACTATTTCTCCACTATTTGCAACAGAATTACAAAGAGTATATATCTCATCTATACTTTTTCCCTCTTCTGACATAGCTCCAGCTATTTTATATATAAAAAGTATAGGTAAAAAATCTTGTTCTTTAATAGTATTTCCAAAATAATATAACATGTTATTGTTATTTATTGTTATTAGTTTAACAATGTACCCTTTTTCTTCAGCATGTAATTTAGCTAAAGTAAAATTTGTGGAATATTCTGCATAATTTTGTATGATTAACAATATACCTATATATAAATATTTTAGTTAGTTGTTCTTATTCAGTAATTTGCCAATGTGACATATAAATATTACCAGAAGATTGGTCAGATGCAATTTTTTTAATAACTCTTAATATATTGTCAACTGAAGGTGCAGAAACAGTATTTCCTAAAATTACAGCTGTTAACATACCGGGACCTATAAATCCTGGATATATTGATTCATTTTCATTTTTACCACCAGATATTAATTTGACCTATTACCACAGTGATATGATAAGTCATATAACATATATATTATTTTATAGTTAAAACATATTATATTTATATGTAATTAAAACAAAGCATATTATAATTAAAACATATTTTATAATTAGACATGTCAAATTGCTTACTTTTCCTATCAAATTTACATAATCTTTTCGTAAGATTGCGTTTGAGTCCTTTAATACAATTAAACCATCATGTATTTTTGACATTTCTAGAAGACTTTTGTCAATTACTGTATCAAAATAATCGAACTCCAGTCTTAATTCGTGTATGCCTTATATAAAAATACTGTTTATAAAAATGGTTTAAACATAAATGAATATCTACAATATATATTATATCATATTAAAAATATAATCTATATAATTTTTAAAGCTTTATTTAATATTTTGTATCTATGAATTAAAAAGGTTAATTAAGCGGCTAACCTACCTATTTTAAGGCGAATATAAATTGATCATTGCATTAAAAGATACTTTTGCTATTTTTTGTTTTTTAAAACAAAATTATTATTCATTTCTTTTATTTGAATATAAATAAACGATATAATTAATTTCTATAAATTTGATTATTATATAAACATAACTTGAGTGTACTTTTATAAACAAAACCCTTTACACTCGTGCGGCTACTTTCAGTCACTGTTTACTTTAATACCTTAAAATTTAAGTAACGAATATAAGGCAATAATTTGATTAGAAGTAATTGCATATGAAGTATCGAAATGAAATACATGTGATTTCTTTTTTATTTTAGTATAGGTTGTATCACCGAGCTTATAAATATAAGAAAAGATTCGAATTGTTATATCTTCATAGCGAAAAAATTTTCAAATACAAAGGGTTAAAAGCTTACATATTACTAATTTCTTTTAGTCAATATATGTGCACAGCTTTATGTTTTGCATTACAATTTATTTAATATTAATATATTTTTATATTTACAAATAAAATATAAAAACCATGATCAAAAAAATTAAGAAAAATAATAATATAAAATCTAAAAGGTTTGTAATAAAAAAGGTATAAAAGAATAAAAAAAATTATAGCATTTATAAAGATGTATTTATTTATAATTGCACAATTCAGCCTTAAATGGCCAAATTTTGCACTACATTTTGACTACTTTTACAAACTCTGCTTTTCAAAAGTATCAAAGTTTCATATTAAAATCTTTGGATAATTAACCTTTTAATGAAATTAAAGCTAGAACTGAATAACTGGGGTAACATTAACTCATATTAATATGAAATAAGAACTTTGATAGCAAAGTTTGCAAATACATCAGTGACAAATTTTGCCTTTTCTGGTAATCATATAACAATCTTAAACATTATCAGTCTACAAAGTTATACTAAAATTTTCTTACATAAAAGTATTTAGATACAGTTGTCATAACAATATCAGCAGTATATTCATGCATTCACACAAACAATGCATGTAATATGTACATCATTCTATGATTAAAAGTCCATTATTTTCACTCTGCATTCATACCACGCAGTTAACCCTATCTGGTATGTATTTTTCAGTTATATCTTTATCTGTGTTACTTTCAACACGTTCAAACCAGGGTAACCCACCAGTGAATTGTAAGCTTTTTGTCAGGCAGTGTGACTTGATGGGTCACAACTATCTTACATTGTGAGGCAATGTGAGCTTCCTATTCTAATTTTCAAAATATAAATAAATCAAATTTTAATGAAATGTAAATTATAAAGATGTAGATATGAAGTACGGAAAAAATATTCGAAATAATTACATTAATCTGCTGACGCGTGAAGATGGACCTTGGGTTAAACGTGTTAAAAAATTACAAACGGAATTATCAATCCTATTTTGTATCACATTAATCTCCTTTTATCCGTTAATTTAAACGTGGTTTATCTGTGATATTTAAACAAAATTTTTATATATTTTTTTACTGATTATAATTTTGAAGCAGCTTCATTACTATGAAGCAGTATTTAACAAAAATATGTAATTTATATGTATCGTTGTTTTACATATTCAAGGACACTGTTGATAACAATACAAATTTAATTCATACAAATCATTATCAAAGTGAATTCCTTAAAATGTTAAGAAAAATATTACTCTATATTTATATAGATGCACACAAAAATCCCAATGGATAAATTTAACTTTAAAGCTGTATATATAAGGGAAAGTTACGATTTTACAAAAAAAAATATAGATGTATACAATTCACTGTAACAAATAGATTATATATGAATTATATAATAATTTAAATCCATCAATTATAACTTTGTGGTACCCAATGAATTAGGTCTGTTTCTAATCCTCAGTTTTAATTCTACACAATTATTCACTGATTTTTAGATTACTTTTAAAACACAAAACAGGCTATAATAATTTGATTAGAAGTAATTGCATATGAAGTATCGAAATGAAATACATGTGATTTCTTTTTTATTTTAGTATAGGTTGTATCACCGAGCTTATAAATATAAGAAAAGATTCGAATTGTTATATCTTCATAGCGAAAAAATTTTCAAATACAAAGGGTTAAAAGCTTACATATTACTAATTTCTTTTAGTCAATATATGTGCACAGCTTTATGTTTTGCATTACAATTTATTTAATATTAATATATTTTTATATTTACAAATAAAATATAAAAACCATGATCAAAAAAATTAAGAAAAATAATAATATAAAATCTAAAAGGTTTGTAATAAAAAAGGTATAAAAGAATAAAAAAAATTATAGCATTTATAAAGATGTATTTATTTATAATTGCACAATTCAGCCTTAAATGGCCAAATTTTGCACTACATTTTGACTACTTTTACAAACTCTGCTTTTCAAAAGTATCAAAGTTTCATATTAAAATCTTTGGATAATTAACCTTTTAATGAAATTAAAGCTAGAACTGAATAACTGGGGTAACATTAACTCATATTAATATGAAATAAGAACTTTGATAGCAAAGTTTGCAAATACATCAGTGACAAATTTTGCCTTTTCTGGTAATCATATAACAATCTTAAACATTATCAGTCTACAAAGTTATACTAAAATTTTCTTACATAAAAGTATTTAGATACAGTTGTCATAACAATATCAGCAGTATATTCATGCATTCACACAAACAATGCATGTAATATGTACATCATTCTATGATTAAAAGTCCATTATTTTCACTCTGCATTCATACCACGCAGTTAACCCTATCTGGTATGTATTTTTCAGTTATATCTTTATCTGTGTTACTTTCAACACGTTCAAACCAGGGTAACCCACCAGTGAATTGTAAGCTTTTTGTCAGGCAGTGTGACTTGATGGGTCACAACTATCTTACATTGTGAGGCAATGTGAGCTTCCTATTCTAATTTTCAAAATATAAATAAATCAAATTTTAATGAAATGTAAATTATAAAGATGTAGATATGAAGTACGGAAAAAATATTCGAAATAATTACATTAATCTGCTGACGCGTGAAGATGGACCTTGGGTTAAACGTGTTAAAAAATTACAAACGGAATTATCAATCCTATTTTGTATCACATTAATCTCCTTTTATCCGTTAATTTAAACGTGGTTTATCTGTGATATTTAAACAAAATTTTTATATATTTTTTTACTGATTATAATTTTGAAGCAGCTTCATTACTATGAAGCAGTATTTAACAAAAATATGTAATTTATATGTATCGTTGTTTTACATATTCAAGGACACTGTTGATAACAATACAAATTTAATTCATACAAATCATTATCAAAGTGAATTCCTTAAAATGTTAAGAAAAATATTACTCTATATTTATATAGATGCACACAAAAATCCCAATGGATAAATTTAACTTTAAAGCTGTATATATAAGGGAAAGTTACGATTTTACAAAAAAAAATATAGATGTATACAATTCACTGTAACAAATAGATTATATATGAATTATATAATAATTTAAATCCATCAATTATAACTTTGTGGTACCCAATGAATTAGGTCTGTTTCTAATCCTCAGTTTTAATTCTACACAATTATTCACTGATTTTTAGATTACTTTTAAAACACAAAACAGGCTAATGTTTAGCGCTGTTTGCCATTCTATACTATTTCAAGATATATTTTCATAACTTTTATAAACTTCTTTTTCTTTCAAAGTGATTTTGTGATATTATTGAATAATCGTTTACCCCACCATGATTCCAAATCAAATGGTTTAAAATCTAAAATAACATAATTGTTATAAATTATCTCAATCATATATTTGTTTTTTAAAAAGAAGTGTAACTTACCTAAGAGAGTATCGTTTGGTTCACCATCATTATAATATACTATTGAGTTAGGACCTGAAAATCATGAAATATTTTAATTCAGTAACAAATATTTAATAAAATTTCATGTATTTATCTATGGATTATATATTATATATGTATATGAAAATATAAATACTTGAATGTTTGAAAAAGTAAATAAATAATTGAGAATTTATAATTTACTTTAATTAACTTTAACAGACTTACTGGAAGATTCTGAACAATCTGAACCATCAGAAGATTCACTTCTATGTCGTGTATTAACTTGGTTCCATGCTAATAAATAAAAATTATATTTATAATGTTATGACATAATGTCAATATTAAATGTCATGCAATGTATGTGTGTATATACATATACATATATATATAGGACACATAATATGCGCGCGCGCGCGCACGCGTGTGTTGTACATTATACACAAATATATTTTTTTATATACCACAAAATAAAAATTTTTATAATTTTCAAAATTAAATAATAATTAAATATTTTTAACTTACATTCATAAACAAATTTAATAATTTCCTCATGTTGAGGTGTGATAACTTCTTGCATTTGATGCCTCTGTGAACTGAATTTAGATTTCCCATTCATGTGAAAGACTGGTTTTGGTACATGGCTGTGAAATAAATATTAATTTTACTATGTTAAAGTAAAAATTATTCCATAGTACAATATATAATTTTTGTAGGTATAGTTGTATATAATGTTCCATAAATTACAATTTATGGCTCATTAAGAATATAACATAGGAATTACACGTGTTTTTTCTCAATGGAGAATTATGAATTGCGTAATCCCAAAATGCTGAAGTTACAAAAAGAGAGAGAAAAGCAAACGAAGCAGGGTTAAGATGGGTTAAAGTGTTACTTACCGGGTGGTCTCGTGGTCATCATCAGGGTCCGCTTTCCTTGTTAAATCACGCAAGGTTTCCAGCCTCTCAAGGTTTTGACTAATCCCTAAAAAAATATGATGTTTAACGAAGTTGATATTACAACTGGTTATAAATACAATTAAATATTCTTTAAGTATCGGTACCTCTTCGTGTTTTAGCAACAATCTTGCTAGGTCCTTTGGATACAGTGTACATGTTTCTTATAAGAAAAGCACAACAAAAACTTCGAGTTATATTTACGACACCAGATCATCCGAGATTAATCGTGAAATCTTAGTTTAGAATCAACCAAATTACTCTGTAACATAAAATAGTACCGATTAGACCAACCGCACAGGTTGAAATGATCAGCGTGAAATACACGATGAGTGAACCACGTGATCTTAGCTTGAGTTTGTAGCAATACATGTCATGTGTGTATATACATATGTACTAGGAAACTAAATGAACAATTTTATATGGATATTTTCATACTGTGAATGGTGAAAACTCTGTGTGTGTGTGTATATAATGTGTGTGTGCGTGTGCGTGCATGTACGCACGTGTGTATATTTACTGATATCTTTATAAACAATTTTTTGTTAAGCATTTTTAATATTAATATTAATTTAATATAAAGCAGGTCATGATTATGTAATTATGATGAATGAAAATAAGCTTATTACAAAATTTGTTCATTTACTTTTAAGTTATATTCGATTATTTATTTGCAAATATTAAAAGAAATTAACATATTGACAATATCTATACTATTTATTAAGAATCTATGTTTAAATTTTTTTATAATAGTTCATAATTTTATAATTTAGATTAAACATTAATATAGA